ATATTTATATGGTATTTTAAAATTGTTGTTTGTTGTATAGTTTTAGTCTTGGATCCTCTATGGGGAGAAAGGTGGCATATAAAGAAAGAAAAAGAAACAGAAACAAGCCAACAAACATCAAATAGAATTCTCCCCTTAACAGTCCTGTGGTCTTTATCCAATTTTAGTAATCTGATGCATTTTTAAAATAATTGGGACAGGGAGTCTGTACACTCCATTTTCCTGAATCTTAACTGCTTCCTCAAATCAAGGGAACAGAGAAAATGACAAGACCAGATTGGAAGTAGCTTCTAATCAAGTGAAATTCATCTCTGCATAATAGAAACCACCGTTTCACTTACCCAAAATAATAAACATGTAATTGTATATTTTTAAAAGCACTCTGAACTTTGGAATGTTGGTGAAAATGTCTTACTTATTAATAACATGTGTTGCAATCAAATAAATATACAGTCTCATAAGAAGGACTAAGGATTGAAGGGTGATGATGGCTTTTGATCTACCAGAACCCAGGCATAGAGGAAGCGAGAGCACAGATATCTGGGAATCAAGATTTCTTTTTTGTCAGCAGCCATTTTGTATTGTGCAGTTAATTAAAATGCGTAGAACAAAGTGCAGAGAAAATAAACAGTCAAGTTTTCCAACTGTGTTCATGAATATTTGTTCATTTTATTTAATCTTGATATAGGAAGTGGACTTTTCTTGCTTTCTTTCTTCAAATATCCACTCCTCAGAGAGCTGTTGTTTTTAAAGGCTCTGATGGGATAATTTGGCCGGCCGCCATGGCCTTTGAAGAGAGAAAGTAACAAATGCCAGATGTGTCTCTTATTCAATATTTATAAAGGAGCTACTCACCATTTAAATTGTTGTCACAGCCATTTGGGGTGAGGTGCCTATTTTCTTCACTGTCTGGCGAAAGGCTGCAGATTGCAGAATAATCTCACTTCGGTACATAACAGAGCTCTGCCTACTTTGTTCCTCATGCTGTCAAAGTTGCTAGGTAACACTTTCTCTTGACTACAGCCCAGCATCCACCCCCCTTCATCTCCTCCATTTTCTTTTCCTCTGTTCATTGCTGTGCCCCATTACAGCTACCCCGACAGCTCCAAAGTGAATTTCTGGCTTTCTTTTGATTAAAGGCAAATTTTAGTTTGCAGAATTACTTTGAATTGTTTTCTCCAAATTTTTCTCCTTCGCTAATCACAAATGGGAGATTAAGCCATTTTCTACGCTGTTTTGTACCCTAAGTAATTATTACTTCTGGATGGCAATGTCTTGGAAAGGGAAACCATGTTATTTTCTCAGGATGGGACTGTTCTGATGACCCATGATACAGTCCAAGTTTAATGAGATGAAAACAAAAATAAAGTTGATTCCCAACGGCGACAAACACAGGATTATACAATATACTGTATTTTTTGCACCATAAGACTCACTTTTTTCCCACAAAACAGCGGGGGTGGAAAGTCTGTGCATCTTATGGAGCGAAGAAAACAGATTATATTTTCCTGTTTTCTTCTCCTAAAAAATTGGTGCGTCTTATGGAAAGGTGCGTCTTATGGAGCGAAAAATACGGTAATTTACAGAAGGTGACTTTATTAATCTGCTGCAGTGGAAATAACATTGTGTTTCATGGCACCCTGAAAACAAATGCATTGAGTATGGACATACGATGGATTAATAATGGTTTTTCTGATGCCACAGAAGCCATGTGTTTGTCCACACATTTTTCTGATCACCATAGCTCAGTGAGCTAGGCATCTGTCTCTGGAGCCAGAGGTTGGGAGTTCAATTCCTCATTGTGCATCCCAGAAGAGTCAGCCTTTCTGGCCTTGGGCAAGCTGCACAGTGCTAAGAAGTCCCCAGAAGAAGAGAATGATAAACCACTTCTGAGTATTCTCTACCTAGAAAATCCTAGAAAAGGTTGCCATAAGTGAGAACTGACTTGGTGGCACATGATTAGTATATTATTATCTACCTGTCCCTGGCAATTCCAACATTTTATTGTTCTAGTGCCTGGTTTTATTCTATCTTCTGGTTTTAACAATGGTTCGGGATTTTTAAAAATAAAAAGTGATATTAAAAAGTCTTAGATGGATAAAGAAGTTAGTTATAATTAAAAAAACACAGTGCTGTAATCAATTTGTTTTTTAACATGACATGAGACTCTTCATTGATGATGCTTTATGACTTGGCTTTGAACATCACAACAACCCAGGAATATTGGGGAAAAACAAGCCGAAAACAAGCCATGGCCTCTTTCTCTGGCTTCTATAGGAGAAACAAGCCAGAACATCAACTCCTAATGAGCTCAAACCTCACATTAAACAAAACATGGATGCAAATCCATGGTCTGTTTAACTGTTTCTGCAGCAAGCAAATGCATTAGCTACTAGCTTTCAAAAATTCTGACTCAAACAATGTTAAGTATTCATTTAAATATTCTTTCTCCCAGAAAAGGACCAAAGTGGCCTTGTGTCAAAAAAGACACAATATTAAAAGTTAAATCAGCAAAGTATTCAAATAAAGAATTAAATGTTTTTTTTTTAGAAGAAAGTCAGTTTGCTTAATGGGCTTGCTCAGGAGAGATGCCTGCTTTGTGGAGGAAGTGTAACTGGAGAACCAGTATCCCATCATGTTGTTGCATGATTAGATCTTCAGACACCCTTGTATTTTTTTGTTTCCATGCTGACTCCAGTAACGTCTTTATAAGCAGCATCAGATCACATCCTGGGGCAAGGTATAATATTACATCAGTACTGGTGATATTATCATTGTTTACTGAATTCAGAGGTGGAAGCTAGTTCTGTAGCTGACAGTGAAGTTACCACTGGAATGTATTACCTACATTCTCTGGGTTTACTTAAATGCACACTTATGCTTTAAATGTTTACTATGCTTGTCAGTTCTTCTTCACAGAGAACTGTATTTCTTTGGAAGCAGAGCAAAAAAAAAAAAAAAACAGACAGAAGGTGATTATCACTCAAACAATACCCCTCTTCTGTCTGGCTGGAAGAAACAGTGGTCTGTTTGAAGATGGTACCTGGATAACCCTGAAGTGGCAAAAGGGAGTGGAATTGTAATATTGGAGTTATCTCTGGTACTTGAGGATACATTTCAGAATGGTAGTCATATTAGTCTGTGGTCCAAAATCAACAAAGCATGAAGGGTCAGTTTCTTAATTTGCAGCCGATTAATTTTAAAAACTTTGCAGGCCAGAACCTATTTTGTCAGTTGTTTCCAAAGCGGTAACTCTGTTGGTCTGTTTCAGCATGTGCAACCAAGCAAATAACGGAAAGACAAAGGGGTACTTCGTACTTTAAAGATTAATACATTCATTTCTGCGAGAGCTTTTGTGGATCACAACCTATTTCTCCAGACACAAGGTGTGAAATATTTAGCTGCAGGTTTATATATGATACTGTATATGTAGTAGAGGTGGGAATTCAAACTAATGTATGTCCCCACATCTACTTTGGCGGCACCATTACAAGACTCAACTTTGTTACCCACAACATCAGGCATTCATTTCCTTCTCCATCTGCTAAAAGAATCTAAATGGAGTGCTTTGTGCCTTCTACATGGGACAAATGGAAGAGTCTCTGCCCAAAGAAATAAGTACTGTACACACAAACCTAAAATCAGAAAAAGCAATCCACAAAAGCCATTTCCAAAACACTTTACTTCAGTATACATATTAATAGGCAGCCTTCTCTAGTCATGTGTATAAATAATTTATTTCACTTCAGAATCAGACACTGATTTAGGGGAAAAAAAACAACATTTTCTATATCAACATTTTTGCACTTCAAGAGTACAGTCTATGCTTATGTGGCAAATGATTAATAACTGTAGCTATGGCCATGATGTTTCAATCACGACTCACAGAAAGCCTTCGAGAAAACTCATACATGACTCACAGAGTTCATTAATTGCATTAATATATGGTAATTTCACTTTGTGTGTTTGTAGCTATTCCACCCAAGCCTGAACTCCTCTCAGAACCTAAAGTAACAAAATGAAAACTGTTGTACTTCAGGCACATAATGAGATGGCAATGGGAAGACAACAATGCTAGGAAGTGTGAAAGGTAGTAGGAAAAGAGGAAGATCAAGTACGAGCTGGATTGACTCCATAAAGGAAGCCATAGCCTTCATTTTTCCGGAGTTGAGATAATGCCATGACTTTTTGAAGGTCATAGGGTCACCATGTGTCAGAAACAGTGTTATGACACATAATGACAACATTGCTTGCTACTGTGACCTCACCCCAACTGTCTATATTGTATATTAAGCTTGTGGCTCAAAATTTCACTCTAGGAGTCTGAACAAGTGAGCTGTGACCAACAAAAGCTCACACTGGAATAAATCTGTTAGACTTTTTTGTTGTTTAGTTGTTAAATCATGTTCGACTCTTCATTACCCCATGAACCAGAGCACACCAGGCCCTCCTGTCTTCCACTGCCTCCCAGAGTGGTCAAATTCATGTTGGTAGCTTTGGTGACACTGTCCAACCATATCGTCCTCTGTCATCCCATTCTTCTCTTGCCCTCACACTTTCCTAACATCAGGGTCTTTTCCAGGGAGTCTTCTCTTCTCTTGAGATGACCAAAGTACTGGAGCCTCAGCTTCAGGATCTGTCCTTCCAGTGAGTACTCAGGGTTGATATCCTTCAGAATGGATAGGTTTGTTCTCCTTGCAGTCCAGGGGACTCAGCCTCCTCCAGCACCACAATTCAAAGGCATCAATTCTTCAGCAGTCAGCTTTCTTTATGGTCCAGCTCTCACTTCCATACGTCACTACAGGCAAAACCATAAATTTGACTATGCGGACCTTTGTTGGCAAGGTGATGTCTCTTCTTTTTAAGACGCTGTCAAGGTTTGTCATTGCTTTCCTCCCGAGAAGCAGGCGTCTTTTAATTTCGTGGCTGCTGTCTCCATCTGCAGTGATCATGGAGCCCAAGAAAGTAAAACCTGTAACTGCCTCCAGGTCTTCCCCTTCTATTTGCCAGGAGGTGATGCGACCAGTGGTCATGATCTTAGTGTTTTTGATGTTAAGCTTCAGACCATTTTTTGTGCTCTCCTCTTTCACCCTCGTTAAGAGGTTTCTTTAATTCCTCCTCACTTTCTGCCATCAGAGCGGTACCATCGGCATATCGGAGGTTGTTATTTCTTTCGGCAATCTTAATTCCGGTTTGGGATTCCTCCAGTCCTGCCTTTTGCATGATGTATTCTGCATAAAAGTTAAATAAGCAGGGAGACAATATACAGCCTTGTTGTACTCCTTTCCCAATTTTGAACCAATCAGTCCTTAGGGTGTCACAATACTCTCTGTTTCCATCTTTGTGAGGTGTGTGGAGTCCCTATAAAGTGTGGCCACATAGGAAGGCTTTTTTCCTTTACACTTATTGTTGTACGCAGGGTCGTCAGTCCTTCCCCAACACCTCCTCTTTCCTCCGCATGAGCAGGGCCTCCCCTTGCAGCTGCCTCTCCAGCTGCTGCTGCTGCGCAAGGTTTCTGCCCCCGCTTTTGCTCTGGTTTCGGGGAAGGCCAAGGGACCCAGGCCTGTGGGCCAGAGGCCTGCAGCAGAGGGCGCTGTCAGTGCAGGCTGGCCCGAAGCGGCCTCCTCCGGGCTGGAAGGATGCGTGGCCCTGTTTCCGGGCGGGTTTCGGGCGAGAAAGAGGAGGAATTGCTTTGTGGTTGCAATCTCGGCGGGGCTAGAGAGGCCAACCCGGGTTCCGCCGTCTCCCGCTCGCTCCCTGCCCGGCCGGTCACGCGCCCAAGGGAGCAGGGGGGTGGCACCCTTGGGTAACCACCGCCACCACCACCTCCTCCTCCTCCCCCTGGCTCCGGAGCCGAGGAAGCCAGGCAAGTAGGCAGGCGGGCTGGTTGCGAAGGTAGCTCAGAGTCGGCGAGGAGAAACTCAGGCCGCCCGCCGTCTCGGAGCGGAACAACAACAACAGCAGCAACAACAACAACGTCCCTCGCTCACCCCGCGGAGGCAAAGCGGCCGAGAGGCTCCGGGCGAATCATGGTGAGACCCCTTCCCAGGAGGGTCTGAGCTTGCATTTGGGCGGGGGGGGCGCGGATGTCCAGGAGAGACCGCGGAGGGGCTAGCGAGTCGTCTCCATCCCGACTTCAGTTTTCCCAAACTTTTTAAAAGCTCAGCGTCCCCGCCCCCGGCCCTACTCTTTCCTTCCTTCCTTCCTTCCTTCCAAACCTGGCACTCGTGGTCTGCTCAGTGAAAGGAGACGGTGGGTCGATGCCTCCATGCGCGCTTATGGACCCATCCCCCCCCCCAGAATTAACCTCGGATGCGACACTACCAGCCCAGGTTAATGGGGGGGGGGAGAGATTGGGTCTATAAGGTGGGGGGGGGTCCTGGTGGCCCAAGGCATCGTTGATGTTCTCAGCCCAGGAGGAAGAGCAGTGAAAAGCAAAGCAGCAGCTGCGCTTCCCGCATGAAGTTGTGATGATGAGGCAGTAGTGGGATAGTGCCTCTCCCAAATAGATTAGACAGTGTTTAGGCCATTTATTGTGGTTGATAGTGGGAGAAAAGCTCAGGCTATCCCCAGATCTAGTCTTCCTCTTTAGGTTTACAGCAAATGTGTGTGTGTGTGTCTCCATAGCATGAGAACCTGTTCCCTATATCCTATATACGTCTCCAACAGTTTCTATTAATCTTAGAGTACTGTACACATTCAACTCGCAGATTTGAGATCCCTCATCTTCTTCATGAGTTTGTGCTTTTACACTGTCTATATCACTGCTTTCTCCTCCTTCTTTGTTATTTTTCTTTGCACATTCAACTCGCAGATTTGAGATCCCTCATCTTCTTCATGAGTTTGTGCTTTTACACTGTCTATATCACTGCTTTCTCCTCCTTTGTTATTTTTCTTTTAATCCCAACTCACCCCACGCCCACACTGATAAGAAAGTGACTAGACAAGGAAGTGACGAGACAGCGTAGACAGGGCACCCTGCAAAACGCCTGACAAAGGATGAAATTGCACCATCAGCAGAGTGCACAAAAACAGGGAAGTGGGCACATGAGTAGGGAAAAGTGTACATCACAAAATACTTCATAAAAGCATAATCCTGTATGTTCATATTTTTAAAAAGAGTTGTCCCATAATATAATCATGTAGTCTACAAGCTCGTTGACTTGCTTTATTCTAAAAGCTACTTTGAAACAATCTTGAAAAGACTGATGGGGACAGTTATTGCAATTGGTGTTCACAGACCACAGAAAGTCAGCTATTATGCCCAGCAATGAAATAGGTGTATGAATTAGGAGGAAGCTTTCAATTCCCATCTCCCCAGTAATAACAAAGAAACATAATGGCTTGAAATGACACCATAGTGAGACATTTTCAATTCAACCTGCTTATGTCAGCATTCCCAAAATACTGACATGATTACAGAAATAATTGGAGAGCGAGCTTCTGTACTACTACTACTCTTTTACACAGCAGTGTTGTATTTTAAGTTCACTGAGTACCCCAGAATGGCAATATATTCAACAAAGTGGACAGAGTCATCGGGCCAGTTGCTCCTCAATGCTGCAGGTCTGAATCTTTGTGTAGAAAGTTGCAAGTTTTCCGCTAAAGGTAAAGGTTCCCCTTGACAATTTTTGTCCAGTCGTGTTTTTAAGTTCACTGAGTACCCCAGAATGGCAATATATTCAACAAAGTGGACAGAGTCATCGGGCCAGTTGCTCTTCAATGCTGCAGGTCTGCATCTTTGTGTAGAAAGTTGCAGGTTTTCCCTAAATGTAGTCGTGTTCGACCCTAGGGGGCGGTGCTCATCCCCGTTTCGAAGTCATAGAGCCAGCGTTTGTCCAAAGACAATCTTCTGTGGTCACATGGCCAGTGCGACTTAGACACGGAGGTTTCTCCTAAATGTGTAGGAGGGAATATTTATATAGTTATTATTGATTGCATTTATATCCTGCTTTTTTCTTTAGGGAGAGTCAAGGTGATGTCCATTGGCAGCTCCTAACTACTCTATGAGATAGGGTAGACTGAGAGATAGATACTAGGTAGCCCAAGATGACCCAATGAACTTCATAATTGATTGTGGATTTGAGCCCAAATTTCCTTAGACCTCATTTAAAATCCTAACTGCTAGACTACATTAGCTCTGTAATAGCCATTATCTATTGTGTGGATGTGCCCACATAATTTTTTAAAAAAATAATTGATATGAGATCTGTATTGGAAAATTGTGATGTGAAAATGATAATTGGTTCACTGTCTGCCCAAATGCTACTTCTGAAAATGCAGTCTAACATGTTCTGGATTACAGCAGGAAGATATTCTAGATAAGGAGTGATGGTATCAGTCCACACTGAAAAGTTGGTAGTTGTGAACAGTTGCTTCAGTGGAAATGTTATTCATATGTTATATGGCTATTATTTAAATTATGGTCATCATCCATTTTCCCTAATGGTTTCCATTTGTAGAGATACTCTTAGGGGTCGAGTAGATTGAGCCATCCATCTGTTGATTAATTCCTACTCCTCCCTCCCTCACCATTGGCCAGGATTAGACAAAGGCTATTCATATTCATATCCCTGGGGGATACGAATTGGTATTTCTGGGGATACAAATATGTATCGTGGCACCTAAGCCCATTCCCTCCCCTTAGAACTGGTGGGTCCACTCACATGTGGTGCTCAGGTCATTTGTTGTTGTCATCACACCAATCTGGGATGGAGCCCAGATGGCTCTTCCCTGCCTCCCCGCACAGCTGACCACTAATCAGCTGAGTGGGGAGACTCTGTCCTACGTCCTCGCTGGAGTGGTTGGCTGTGCAGGGAGGTGGGGAAGCATTGGCTGGGCTCCTTCCTGGATTGGCGTGATGATGATTGCGAAGGACCTGAGCACTGCACAGTGACTGGTGAGTGGACTGGCTGGTTCTGGGGGGAGGGAATGAGCCTCTGTGGCACCTGTGGTGCCATGATTCATATTTGTACCCCCAGGGATATGGATATGAATAGCCCACATCTAGCCAGAATGACAGAGCCAACTTGAAGTCCAACAACGTCTGGGAGGACTAGTCAAAATTCAGAATGAATAGCCCACATCTAGCCAGAATGACAGAGCCAACTTGAAGTCCAACAACGTCTGGAAGGACTAGTCAAAATTCAGAATAGGCCACTAGCAGCTGTGGGAGATATAAATAAATAATAAATAAATAAATAGAATAGGCCACTAGCAGCTGTGGGAGACATATCTTTTCCAAAAGATGCAGCGGACCCATTCAGTGGGCCATAGATGAACATTGTGACGTGACTCCAGATGAGCATCTGTGATGGTTGCATGTACAGAAGCATGTATCTTTGTTTTCTTTGACATATATTTTCATGGACTGCTCTCCAGTGAATCGAGAGCATCAGATGAAGTGGGATGCAGTCCAGAAATGAGAAGAGTGGAATAGAGCTTCCACATCTGAGGAAGTGGGCTGTGGTCCATGGAAGCCTATTCCAAACAAAATGTGTTCCCCTTTGAAGTGCCACTAGACTGTTGGTTTTGCTGCAGCAGACTAACCTGGCTCTCCCCATGCCCCTCAGAGTGCTTTCATGTGTGGACCTCAGTCTCCCCCAGTGCCCGTGTGTTTACTAGCCAGTGAAGAACTTGAACATCCAAAGGTGTAGCACTTCCCAAAAGTTTTTGTGAAACATAGTTGCTCTTTTAAGCAGCATTAACATCAGTAGGACCTGCATCTGTATACTGTAATTGTGCCTAGACCGAGTCCTTTTACTCCCCCAACCACCCAGTCTAAATGCACATTTTTCTTTACTGTAGTACAGTGGTGCCTCGCATAGCGATCGCTCCGTATAGCGATGAAATCACTTTGCGATGGACTTTTTGCCATCGCAAAAGTGATTGCTTTGTGATGGTCCCTGTGGGGAAATGTCGCAGGGAAGCGATCATCGCAAAGCCTTCATTTTTGGCCAGCTGATCGGTGGTTTCGAAATGACCACCGGGTAAACAAAATATCCACCCACTGTGTTTCCTCGCTTAAGAGGCACCAAAAATGGCCGCCCCTATGGAGGATCTTCACTTAAAGGTGAGTTTTTAGCCCATAGGAACGCATTAATCGCGTTTTAATGCGTTTTCTATGGGCTTTTTATTTTCGCTTAGCGATGTTATCGCTTAGCAGCAATTTTTTTCTGCACGGATTAACATGGGTGGCACTATAAACCTCCAGGCACAATGCATCCTGGGAAAACTTTCTTCATACTCTGAAAAAATCCCATAAACTGTGGCATTATTTTCAATGGATTTTGCTTCGTAAACCGAAAATTACTTTAACCGAGGTGTTCATAAACGGAGGTACAATTGTACTCTTTGTTTAGTCCTCCTTTGCAGTGATTTTCATTTCTAAAGTATAAAAATTCATGTGTGCAACATATTTTGAGAGGTTTCCCTTATTTCAGACAGTTTCTTTTAAGTTCTCGCACTGCTTTGTTGTTAATTTGTACAATGTGTTCATCTACTCAGGAATATTTAAACATGTAATTTAGACTTGGAGGCCTGTATTCAGGATGACTACCTGTTTATCTGATGGTTTGTTGTTAAATGACAGATTTGCAACATTCTTTCTCTGCAAACTCTACCAGTCTGACCAGTCTGGGTCAATTTTAACAGCACTACAGCAGTGATGGAGACACCCAATGTGGTCTAGTGGATAGAGCAACAGGCTAGTACTCAGGAGGCTTGGGTTCAGATTCCTAGTCAATATAGAAACTTGCTGAGGGTGTGGAACTGGTAAAGCCACTCTTTGAATATCTCACTTACGTTGAAAGCCCCATTAGGATTATTGTAAGTTAGTTCTGACTTGATGGAACATAATAACAAGGGCACTCGCACACTAAGGTCCCTTAGGATGAATAACAGAGATAAAGCAATAAAATATTCATGTCTAAAACTTATCTAGTGTGATTTCTCTAGCTGTTCTCATAGAAACAGACTTATATCTGGAATGTGTTACCTGCGTTTACAGAGATTACAGACTGAAGCTCATGTA